CCCCCCCCCCCCCCCGCCCGGCCCGGCCCACGCCCCTCTCCCGCGCGGGCCAATAGCGAAGGCGGTTGAAAGCGGCGTCGGCGCGTGGCGAGAGGAGCCAATCGGAAGACGCGACCCTGAGCGGCGCGGCTGCTGGGGCGACGGTTGCGCTCGCCGTTTTCCCAACGGGTGGCCTCAGGATCGGCGCCGCTTCCTGGGATGGTCAGTGTGTTCGCGGCCGGGGAAGGCGGGCGGGAGAAGGCGGCGGCGACGAAGCCAGGCCCGGCCCGGCCCGAGGGCGCCGAAACCACACAGGCTGCGGTTAGCGCCTCGAATTTGCATCCGTTCCCTATGCTAATATAATTAGCAAATTAGCCTCCTCGAGCCGGCTTGGATCTTGCGGCGCCTTGGCAGGATCGGGAGGCAGCGCCTTCCTCGCCGTTTGCCCCCCTCAGCGGCCCCAATCCAGCCACGCCGTGCCTGCCGTTGGGGCCCGGGAGGGGAACAACCTATAGGCCCAAGACGCGGAAATGGTTAGGGCTTGGAAAGGAGACCACCAGGCGATGCCCCTGACGCCAGGGCACAGGCTAGACTGGAAAGTCCAAGAAACATTGGTCAGTCATTCAGGGCAAGGAGACGCCCACGAAGTCACCAACTCCGGGGTGGCTTTATTTCACCAGGAAAGGAACTTGTTGCATATAGAAAACTAGCACTTCTGCAGGAAAAGGCAGGGCTGAGTCGCTTCTCCTGATTTATTACTTTTCTGATTGGAGGCAGATTTTTTTCAGCTGTTGATTGATGTGAATATGCTGTCACCAGGGGTGTCTGCAGGGCATGGTAAAAAAAAGTTAAGATGGTGGCCACAGTGGTGCAACTGAGGCTCCCTCTCTTTTTTATGTGCCATCCCACCATCGTGGGCATCATCTTGACTTGTTTGACCACAAACTGAGGACACCCCTGAATGCAGCCCAAATACATCAGTGCTGATATTCCTTGAGAGTTAAAAAATATTCCGTACAATAGGATCGGTGCATCAGCATTCTCTATTTTAAGTTGCAGTCATGTGCTTTTTTCCTGAGAGAAAACACCAATAAATTCGGTGATAATTTAAAAAATTGGGATAATGCATATGATGGTTATAGTGTCATTTCAGTCAGAAGGTAAAGTTCTACTATTTTTTTAAGGATTGTCTTTAGGAAGAATGTATTCTACACGACTATAATCGGCTATTTATTAATTGGGTGAATGAAAACCAGAATATTCACAGACCAATCGCGTAAATTAGAACTTATTTGATTTAGGATGTGTTCAAAAAGTAGTAATTCAAGACTTTCTGGAAATCACACAGTATCTGCAGTATGGTACATAACTTAGCATGCTGAAAATGGGAACTTTTCTCTGTTTTTTTTAAGACAGCAGTAATTTAGCTACCAGGACCTCAGAGGAAGAAGTCTTTGAAACTCTTCTTCAAAGTCAGTCCAAGATCTCTGGAGTATTCAGAAATGAAACACTCTAGAGAGCTAAAACTAGGTTATGTTCTTTTAATATTCTCCTCTGCCTTTCATCCATGCTCTAAGGCCTCCAGCTATAAGAAGGCGTCCCTGGGAGCAGCAACTCAGAGGAAGAAAGCAGCCCCCAAAACTGAACTCACTGAAGAGCAGAAGCAAGAGATCCGGGAGGCCTTTGATCTGTTTGATACTGATGGGACTGGCAACATTGACGTAAAAGAGTTGAAGGCAAGCTGCACAACAAGATTGAAAAGTTGGGGAGTGGGCCTCTGTTCTCCCAGAGATATCAGCCTCTTTTCATTGTTTTCAGGTCGCCATGAGAGCACTTGGGTTTGAGCCCAAGAAAGATGAGATCAAGAAAATGATCCTTGATATTGATAAGGAAGGGACAGGGAAGATTACCTACAGTGACTTCTTAGGAGTGATGACCCAGAAGATGGTATGTTGCTCTACATATTGACACAAAATCTGTCTTTTTGCTACAACTCTTGAAGAGGTTTAAAGATATCAGGATTTCTCATGGCAGCGTTCCATTTGTCAAACAGTGAAACCAGGCTCTTTCTTATCATAACTCCAGGTATCAGACTTCAGCTCAGGGACTGGTAGAGCGATGTCACTTTTGTTCTTTAGTTACTTGTGAGGCACTAGAAATGAATTGAAATTAAAGTCTCTTCTGTCAACTGAACTCTTAACAATCTTTTCTGGTTGGAAGGAAAGTATAGGTTGGATATGTAAGCAGTAAAAGCCATCTCTCATGGAATCCTGTTTGCTCTCTTCAACTAATTCAAGGCAGAACCTGCTTTAAAATATAACAGCTCTCTATAACATTACCCTGATTGTTTTCATTCCACTTTGTTTGACCTGTCTGAAGACTTGTCTCTTATTTTAGGCTGAAAAAGATTCAAAAGAAGAAATTCTGAAAGCTTTTAAGCTGTTTGATGATGATGAAACTGGCAAAATCTCTTTCAAAAACCTTAAACGTGTGGCCAAAGAACTTGGGGAGAATCTTACCGATGAAGAGCTTCAGGTTGGAAATTATTTTCACTTGCTTTTGTAGCAATTCTATAAATGGTGATGTTCAACTCATTTCAAATGAGCTGAACTCTGGTATATGAACAAGTGCAGTGCAAGAGTGGCAAAAGATAAGTGAAATTCAGCCAATGTACAAGCCTGACCACATTGGGGGAAAATAGGAAAGAGTAGAAGCCCTTTGAACCAAGTTTTTGAAATTGTGATCTTTGCTTTCATAGCCCCTCTCTCACCTCACTGGATTTTGCCTCTGATTCTTTGTCCTGCTGCAGGAAATGATTGATGAAGCTGATCGGGACGGAGATGGGGAAGTCAACGAGCAGGAGTTTTTGCGGATCATGAAGAAAACCAGTTTGTACTGAGATGCTTGGCACACACTGTGTCTTGATTTGTTGCCTCCCGTTGGCTGAGTTTGATTTCCACGGGTTCCTCTTTGGAAGAGATGAACAACAGCCCGGATTTTACAAACTTTGTGAGCTCTTTTACGGTTCTCTTTTCTCTTTGTAAATCCCAACGATATCTGCTCACTCCCAGCTCATCTGCCAGTGTTGTATACAGCAGGAAGCATGAGGCCTACTGGCTGAAACCACAGTTTGAAGAAAGCTGTGTATTTCTACATAGGGTGCATGTGAGAATGGAATTCCTAATTTACATACTGAGAAACAACATTTCTCTTTTAAAATATTGTTGTAAGGAAGCTGTAAATGGTTCCACTTCAGCTCCTGCATTTGATCCATCGCTCTCTGTTCTTGTCATCTATGAAAGTGTCCTGCTTCTGGTTACAAGTATTCAGATGTAGTGCCTGCATTATCTAAACGTTGATGTAAAGATACTGTGCACTTACTAGCTTTTACTCCCCACACCTAAAAAAAGCACTGAATGTAAAATGGATGTATCTTTAATACCAGAACTGATTGGAAGGATCTTGTAATAGTTTTTCTAAACATGGCTTGTGTTGTTAGCTGCGAAAAAGTAAAGCTGATATCAAACTTGATGGCAAAATGGTTGTCTGGGTTTCTTTATTATGCTGATGGCTATTGGGACAAGAATAGATGGGATTTCTTATTATCAATACTATACTTGCATTGATAGCAAAATAAAACAGTATTGTAATTCCACAGTAATATTGCAAACAGATTTTATTGGGATATTTTATTGCAGGCAATTACTGCTGTAAAAATGGAGATATGAGTTCCATTTTCTTTAGGTAAACATGAACTACAAAATTTGAGGAAAATGTGGTCTCTAAAGCGTATTTCTTAGTTTCCTGATCGATAACCTCGTATCAAAAGGGCCATGGAGAATATCATGATAAAACTCATAAAGGTGAATCAGTTCAGGGGACAGCAGATATCCTGGTCCTTGTTAGCCATTTATCCAAGAAAATTAGCTATTGAGCTACATGGTCCATTATTATAATAATAAGAGAGGTTATATCACATTTAGTACGTGGAACTGATTCTTAGAACCAAATCAGACTTGGTCACTTCCTAACAATACTTACAGATTGTAAGTGTCTGTTACACCAGAATCTGGCCATGTCTCCTGCTTTTATAATGTATTGTCTGGAAAAGCTTAGAGCTATCTACTTTACTTCTACTATATACCCATTCAAGTCACAGTTTATATTCTGCACTGTTTTGAAAAGTGTATAGGATATTGTTTTGATCAAGAGACCTCAAAAGGTACATCACTTCAGGAAAACAGGTGACAACTCTTTGAGAATGTCTAAAATTACACAGTCTCTAAACTGATAATGTACACATCTTTCACTGTCAAGCAAGCCCACTCTTTAAATTAGATCCTAGTTTTCCTGCATAAAAATGCTAAAGAGATTTCTTGCCATGTAGAAACAAAAATGGGATGGGGGAAGTCAAGTTTGTAAACAATTATCCACCTAATCAGCTGATATTCAAATCAGGAAACATCAAAGAAAGAAAGCACAATACGTTATGATGGAATTTCATCATCATGTAGAAGTCTTCTTAAGGATTCCCACTAAGTTGCACTGCAATTATTGGGACTTGCTATGTGAAAATTGCTTTATCACAATATTACAGTTCAACCTCATATGTGTCTATGCAAAAGGAAGTCATTTTTATCTCAGTATAATTTTTCCTCCTCACCCTAAGATTGTAATCTTAAATACATCACAAATTATGTTGAAGGACTCCTTTCCCTTCTGTGTTTTTATATCACATTTAGTACGTGCAACTGATTCTTAGAACCAAATCAGACTTGTGGATGTTTCATTTTGTGAAAATTAAGTGTCTTCCACCGAAATAATGTAATGCAACTAAAGGCTTATAGTTCTTGCAATTCAAAAGGAAAGAGATACTGGAAGGCAACCCATTTCCAAGGACAGACATTCCAATTACACATTTCTCCATGTCTTGTCTTTCAAATCAATCACATTTTTAAATTTAATAGGGACAGGCTTCCCTGTAAATCATTGTTCCACATTTTCGATGAAACTTCATGGCTTAATTCTTTTTTATTTTCTGCTTTTTCATCTCAAGCCTTGCCACTAGAGGGCATTGTTGGAAATGCTTTTCATGGAAAGAAGAACCATGTTTAGGTTATGATTTTATATACCTATTAGAAAGTTCTACGGAGCTCCACGGAGCTTACTTTTGAACAGATAAGCACAGGACCACATCATTACTTTCCCTTCCTCTTGTCTATTGCAAAACCACTAGTAATGATGTAGCTCCTAAACCATTGTGCATGTGTGTGTGTGTGTGTGTGCATGCGTTAAGATACCTGAAGATCATGAACAGATAACATTAATCTTGGGTTGGAATCTTATGTCCCACTGTTCCCAATAGCTTCTCTTTTCCTGCTGTTTTTAAAGCTTTGGTGTTAGGTTTAATCATAATGTTCGCTGCCCAACTAAAATGAAGCATTTAAATCTTTCTCCAAAGAAAATCTAAGAACATGCAAAAACTCCCATTGAAACCGGAGGATTTTAAATCAGTGGCTCCACTATACACTTTACAGCAAACTTGAAAATTGGTAACACTGTCTTTCAGCTGTGACATGGACCAAAACTGAAGGCAAACTTTGGAGAATGGGAATTTGTTGAAACTGGCAGCTCCTTACTGCAGTTTTCAATAGCTAAATACTATCTTATTATAAAACAGCCATACTCCGAAAAAGAATTTTTGGCTGAAGAGCTTTGAGTTTTTTAATACAAAGATATGATAATATTTTAAATAAACATTTTTTGCACTAATGGAGAATCTGTGTCCCGGTAGAGTTTGCTCAGCCACAGCCAGTACGGCCAACATAGAGGGATTTAGTTCAGCCATATATGGAGAGCCACAGAATTTCTTCCCCTTGTATATATGACTATAACCTGACAATGGACCTTAGCTTAACCACAGAGTAAAGGGCCTAAACAAGCAGATTTTCACCATGGGGAGAATTTCTGAAGGTTGGGGCTCCCTGAAAAAAATTCTGTGTTCCTTCCAGAAAGGAACCCTAACCATTAACTCAAGGGAAAGGTAATTATATGAATAGCCTTGCTCCAACAACCAGCATCTCTCGCCACTGGCGCATTAGCTGAGACTGAGGGAATTTGGGGTCCAACAACATCTGGGGGGCCACATGTTCCTTCCACCAAAGCTGCAGCTTCAACAGTGGATGCTAAGGAAAAGAACATGAGGTCTGTGTCACAGAATGGCTGTATTCAGGCAAAGCTAGCCCATTTTAATCTACTGATGTCCAAACCCAGTCCTCTGCTTAATTTGTGATTCAGGGTGTCACATACTGTAAATGCAGACAACTGGTTTGAGTAAAGTGGGGTAAGAATAAATGCAACCAATGGGCTTTACATCTTGTGCCTTAATCTGCTGTCCTTATGTGCAACAGGGGTTGCTAAGTTTGATCCATCCTATTCCTGGTTAGAGATGACATATCCGATGTTGGGTTTGTCTTTTAACTGAACTATTCTAACTCGTCTAACAATGGCAGGGTAAACCCGTTTCGGTTAAACCACTTCAAATTAAAAAATCACTTGCATGATAAAGAAGTAGGCAATATCTAGGTCAGTGGTTCTCAATCTCAGCAACTTTAAGATGTGTGGACTTCAACTCAATCTTCAACTCTATCTCAACTCAGTCTCAGCACCTTTAGGATGTGTGGACTTCAACTCCCAGAATTCCCCAGCTGGCATGTTAGC